TTTTCCTTTTATCATGTAGTTTTAGTCTTTACTTTTCTATGATACGGCCGGCATAGTTGGCCACCTCTTTCTTTAATTAATGCATCTACATTAATTTTTTTTTACTTCTCATTTTTACATCCGAGTGAACTGTGGTAATGAAGCTCGGGTTTCCCACATTTCAATAGAGGTCAGGTTCTTCCATCCTTTTAAGACCCCGCATCTCTGACACACCTCGCGACACCACGCCTAATTGTTTTTTATGAACAGTAAGGTTAAAGTCTACAAGAAAATACCATGTATTCATTTTTAGGTTTGCTGTAATTCTATACTTTGAAATGCCTTTCCTACGATTATGTGCTTTAAAGTTAGATTTGGGATTAGATTCAAAATTGTTTATTTTTTTTTAATGTATACAAAATATATTATTCAGATTTGGAGTTAGTATGGAATGAATTGTTAATTTTTAAATATATACAAAAATTATTTAGATTTAAATTAATATCCATCTATTTAAAGTTTTCATCCACCCTAAAGATATACTAAACATTATTATTTTATATTTTTCATATAATTCTAAAATTATATTTTATTAAAAATATTTTTGAAAATATCTATCTATTTGAATCTAAATTAATATATATATATATATATATATATTTAGAAAGAAAAATCTGTGTTAAAATTTTTTTATCTATCCTAATAATTTCCTAAAATTAAGCTTCAAATATGCATATTATTTTTGAAATATTTCGTAAAATCTATTTGACATTTATTTTTCTTCAGCAAGATCTATCTGTTTTGATTGCAAATATGTTAAAAAGAACTAAAATTAAAAAAAATATTGAATTAAAGTATATTATATATTCAGTTAAAGTATTCTTATTAAATAAAATTCTTTAAATTAAAAAATTGTTTTAGAAAAAATTAATATCTATTTTGTAATAAATTATGAATGTGTTGGTTAGAATTAAAGATTTTAGGTCTATTTATTTTAAATTCAAATCAACATTTTATATTTAATATTAAACATTTTAATCAAAAATTAAGGTGGACAAAAACTAAAATAAATGAATTTTAAGAATGGTCTATTAGCTCAAGATATGTTTTTCTTATGTTATTTTTTTTATAATATCCATTTTTGGTTCTTTGAATTTTATTCTCTATGTTTTTGCTGTAGAAAAAAAAATATTTCAATATTAAATGTTTTGATAGAAAATTAAGGTGTGAAAAAAAATTAAGATGACCAAAATTTAAGAACGACCTATTACCTCTTGATATGTTTTTATTCTATTTTTTTCGTTATAATATATTTCTTGAGGTATATAATCTAAACAAAAATATGTTTTTGATCATTTTATTCTATCATTATATAACTAGATAATGGATAATAAGAAATCAACTTATTTAAAAAGAAAACTATTATAAAATATATTCAAATTTAAGTTTAAATTTAAATTATATTGACATTATAAATTGATGGCTTTAATTTCAATTTTAATTTATATATGTTACTATTAATGATAATCATTGCTTCAGTTGTTGATCATTTATTTTGTTTGGATTTTAATTTAATTTAAATTTTATTTGATTGAAAGTTCAAATTCAAAAATTCCTCCAACATTAGCCTTGATACTAATTATAAATAGAGTGGACTAGATACATGTTCGTTCATCGATTCTGGTTTTTTTTTGTTGTATTTTATTTATCTTTAAGGCTATTGTATATTCATATGCCTTATCATTATGTTTTGTCTCTTCAATAATTTATATGATAATTAATCATTTCTTATTTTGTTAGTTTGGGTTATTCATTCCATTGATATTTGTTTTGTTTTGTTGTAGGATAGAAATAATTTATATATTCCTGTAAGGTGTACTAGCATATCATGGTTTCAATAATTTATCTTAAAAATATAATTGAGTGCACTTCATCAAACAATTCAACTTGTATATAAATTTTTACTAATTGTACAAGATTTATCACTGCAACCTCCCTGAGGTTAAACCACAAATTAACTCCAATAACGTAATTTTCTGTGTTAAAGAGAATTTCTCAAAATTATTTCAAAGGAATCCCAATTTGTCATTTCAAATCCCAAACATAAAATTAAGGACTCCAAATTAGAGTTTTAAAAACAAAGCGGAAGCTTGGAAGACAATAGGACCCAAATGATGAGTTTTTAAACTCAAAACAGATTTTCACACAGAATTTGACATGTGCACCGTAGCTTACGGTTCGTGCTCCATGGCATATCTTTTATGTGCCATGCGCCATGAGGCACCATGCGCCGCAGTGCATTGCACGAAATTTGACAGATCAATGCTATCATTTGACAGCACAAGGAGCGAACTTTCGATGCATCCCAAATCTTCGTCCGATGTCCGATTGAGGTAGTTTCAGTGTCTACACAGAGCTTTCTCCGAGCACTAGCTAATGGCATAGGTTTCACATTCAAACTCATTTTTTATAAAAAGTTGGACACCAAAACCTATTTCTACCACATTTTCACAAAATCTCCCAAATGGGGTGTCCCAACTCAACCACACATGCCAATAGCTTACACCAACCCTCCAATCACACTCAATGGACTCTTGCAGACTCATGCAACACACCACACACAATCAAATACACTTATTTCACAAATCACCACTTAGTCCCATTTTTTACAAAACATAGAGGGGGAGGAAAAGTTGCATAAAAATTAACCATTTCATTCATATTTCTCAAAAATACAAATGTTCATATTTGCACAAGTATTTTAGCCCTATCCTCGAGTTCACAACAAAAACTCACTGACCCAGGGTACAAAATACACTAGTTAAACACAAAACCATGCAAGTAGTACAGCAATCATGACAGTTAATTCTAGTGGGCAATTACATTAACAAATATACATGAAAACAATTAAAGAGAGGCATAAAGAGGATTTACTCCATAAATCCTAAGCCTCTGTATGTTTTCCCCAACTTAGATCTAATGAGCTAGGTCTTAATAATATTGAGAATTGAGGGGTAAGTATAACCACTCAGTAACCAAGTTTCACTTAACCCTTACAGTTACTTATTAATTGTAAATAGATACAAATAGGCACATAAACACATATATCACATAGCATTAGGCCACGGTTCATAAAACTAACAACCATATGACTGGGCTTGCCATAAAATGCCATATCATGTCATTTTCAAAAACATAACTTAGGGTCACATAAAATAACAACCATGTGCCCTTAACATGTGTCAAACTACAAAACTAACAACTATGTGGCCGGACTTATATGCTTATGACATATGCCAACCTTATACTCCTCCTGTTACTATGCATGATATGCCAACCTTATATCCTCCTGGTGACATGAAACTGGTGGCTATCACGTGACTACGCCCATCACGGACTAACCTAGCCTTTTACTTGTGGGGAGCTACCGGGCCAAGGTTAACTCACTCACTTATATAATCCAGTTTCCCCAAATACTAACAACCATAGGGTGTCGTACCCCTAATCTAGTCTCCTTATAAATCGGTGGAGACTAACTAAGTTCAAGTCCCTTATAAAACAAGTGGGCCAGCTCTGAATCAACCATGGGAAAAGAGCTACCTCCTGATTCTAACGGTTACTGCCAATACCACATGAATTTCAACCAATCTACTCCTTTCCCTAGGCAAACTCCTGCCAATGATCATGCTAAGCACATTTCACACATAATAGCATTTTAACAATCTTTTCTCAAGACATGAACTCACATAACACAAATGCTCTACACTTTAACACATATTTCATTACAATTCTCCACCCCTATTCATAAATCATAATTAATTTCATAAAACATCTAGGGTGGTAGAAATCAAGATTTTCTTTTAAAAGAAACCATTTCACAATCACGCACTTGCCAATATGCATCATCAATTTAAATTCATAAATCACATTTCACAAACACAATTAACATTCAACTATAAAAATTAAGTTTCCCCTAGTTACCTTAAACCTTTGAGAGGTCAAAGGTTTACCCCTCACTATATCAACTTCCCCAAGCTTTAATGAGCTTGACTGGTGCCAAGATGAACCTCTCTACAACTATATCACAAAGATATCATCAACATCTCGCTCTTTAAGCTTTATCAACATAAAAATCCTCATACACTATTTTACCAACTCATAATCACTACCCATTCATACCCAATGGGCTCATTAGATTCCATTAATGCACATTATCATTAATAACACGTCAAATTAATGCACATTAATCTCTTCCAACTACATCATAAATGCCAATTTTGGATATTAAATGCTCCCATGGGCCAATCGCTTGCAAAATTATCAATGTGGTATTCCAATACATTAAATCACTCCATTAATCTCATTTTAACTAATGGAATCAGACCCATATTCTTATGGACCAAAAATTCATATTCCAACTCAAACCCTACTATAAATAATCATAAATGAGGGAAAGAAAGGAGGAAGAAGAAGGCACCATGATCTTACCTTAGGTGTTTGGGAGCTCCAATCTATCAATAATAGGACCAAGAGTCGTGCCCCAGTAGAGCTAAAACGAAGCTCTTTATTTTCCTCCTCTTTCTCTCTTTTACTTTCACATAGCTCACGAGTTGATTTATCTAATTTTTGGCTGTGCACCGTGGTGCACGATGCCCTCCACCACGGCACATGGCATAGAGGAGCCTATTACATTTAAATTGTGTTTGTACATTACGGTAGACTAACCACACATCATGACATGTGGCATAGAACACAACTCTTTACTTTTTTCGTCCTCTTTTCTTACTCGAGTGGCCTGCCATCAATCTGGACCTACTTCTAGGGCTGAAATCACAATAATTATGGCAAGTCAAGCCCCTCTTGCCATACACCTCATTAAATCACTAACTACCCTAATTAAGTTAATAAATTAAGGTTAAAATTTTTTGAATGTTACAACTCTCCCATCCTTTTAAGAATTTTATCTCTAAAATTCAGTAAATCATAAAAATCTTACCTCGCTGAAAAAGATGGGGATACTTTTACCTCATTTTCTCCTCCATTTCCCAAGCGGCATCACCGGGAGTCATTCCCTTCCATATCACTTTCACTAAACAGACAGTCTTGTTTTTGAGTTGCTTATCTTTCACATCAGCTATTCTTTCTAGCTCAGTTCGATAAGTCAAATTCTCCAATAGCTCTACCTCTTTTGGTTGAATAATGTTAGATAGATCGGGTTGGTACTTCTTGAGTTGTGAGACATGAAACATGTCATGTACACCTGATAAATGTGGGGGTAATGCAATCCGATATGCCAAAGGCCTAATCCTCTCTAGAATCTCAAACAAACCAATGTATCTGAGAGTCAACTTCTTGGCTCGAATAGCCTCCCAATACCAGTCATAAGTGATACCTTCAAGAATATATGGTCTCTAATCATAAACTCTAGCGGTCTCCTTTTCTTATCCATATAACTCTTCTATCGACTCTGGGCAGTCAACAACTTCTATCGAATTACCTCTATCTTCTCTGTAGATTGATCCACCAATTTTAGACCCAAAACACTTTTCTCACTTAACTCAGTCTAGCAAAGAGGCGATCGATAATTTTGACTATACAAAGCTTTTAACATCTAAAAAATTTTAACCCTGATTTATTAACTTAATTAGGGTAGTTAGTGAGTTAATGGAGTGTTGGCCAGAGGGGCTTATCTTTGCATAATTGATGTGATTTCAGCCCTAAAAGTGGGTTTGGATTGATGGCGGGCCACCCGGGCAATGAAGAGGATGAAAAAGTGAAGAGTTGTATTTTGTGCCACACGTTACGGCTTGTGGTTGGCCTACCATGGTTCACGGACACAATTTAAACATAATGGGCTCCTTTGTGCCATGCATCGCAGTAGAGGGTAGCGTGTGCCATAGCACACGGCTAAAAATCAAATATATCTAATTTGTTTCTGTGTGAAAAGAACAGAAGGAGAAGAGGAAGAAAATGAAGAGCTCATTTTGGCTCTGCTAGGGCACGACTTTTAATCCCATTATTGATAGATTGAAGCTTCCAAACACCCAAGGGAAGATCATGCTGCCTTCTTCTTCCTTTCTCTCCCTCATTTATGATTATTTATGGTAGGGTTTGAGTTAGGAGATGAATTTTCAGTTTATAAGAGTATGGGTCTAATTTCATTGGTTAAAATGAGATTAACGGGAGTAATTTAATGTATTAGAACATCATATTGATGATTTTAGAAGTGGTTGGTCTATGGGAGCATTTAATATCTAAAAATTGGTATTTATGAGGTAGTTGGAAGAGGTCAATGTGCATTAATGATGGTTTAAGGTGTTATTAATGATAATGTGCATTAATGGAACCTAATGAGTTCATTAATTATGAATGGGTAGTGGTTATGAGTTAGTAAAATAGTGTATGAGCAATTTTATATTGATAAAGCTTAAAAAGCTAAATGATGATGATATCCTTGTGATTTGGTTGTAGAGAGATTCGTCTTGGCACCATTCAAGGTTGTTGAAGCTTGTAAAAGTTGATATAGTGAGGGGTAAATATTTGACCTCTCAAAGATTTGAGGTAACCAGGGGAAACTTAATTTCTATAGTTGAATTTTAATTGTGTTGTAAAATGTGATTTGTGAGTCAAATTTATGATGCATGTTGGCAAGTGTATGATTATGAAATGGTTTCTTTTAAAAGAAACCCTTCATTTCTACCACCCTTGATGTTTTATGAAATTACTTGTGATTTATTGCTATGCGTGGAGAATTGTGATGAAATATGAGTTAATTATGAGCATATGTGTTATGTAAGCATTATTTGAGAAATGATTCTTAAAATGTATATTATGTGTGAAATGTGCATAGCATGATCATTGGTGGGAGTTCGCCTAGGGAGAGGAGTAGATTGATTGGAAATTTAGGTGGTATTGGTAGTAACTGTTGGAATTGGGAACTAGCCTTAGCACCGACCGTTGGAATCGAGAGGTAGCCCTTATCCTATGGTTATTTTGGGACTGTCCCAGTTGTTCTATAAGGGACTGGAACCTAACTAGTCTCCACCAATTTATGAGGAGGCTAGATTAGGGGTACGACACCCCATAGTTGTTAGTATTGGGGGAAACTGGATTATATAAGTGAGTGAGTTAACCCTGACCCAGTAGCTCCTCATAAGTAGAAGGCTGGGTTAGTCCATAAAGGATGTAGCCTCGTGATAGCCACCGGTTTTGTGTCAGAGGTAACAGGAGGATATAAGGTTGGTACATGATCATGCATATAAGTCTGGCCACATGGTTGTTAGTTTTATAGTCTGGCTCGTGTTAAGGGTGCATGGTTGTTATTTTTACAATGTTGAGTTATGTTTTTCAAAATAACATAATGTAGTGTTTTATGGCAAGCCCGGTCACATGATTGTTAGTTTTGTGAATCTGGCCTAATGCTATGTGAAATATATGTTTATGTGCTTAATTGCATCTATTTACAATTAATATGTAACTATAAGGGTTAAGTGAAACTTGGTTACTGAGTGGTTGTACTCACCCCTCAATTCTCAATATTTTCAAGGACTAGCTCATCAGATCCGAGTCTGGGAAAACATACAAAGGCTTAGGATTTATGGAGTGAATCCTCTTTATGCCTCTCTTTAGTTGTTTTCATGTGTATTTGTTAATGTAATTGCCAACTAGGATTAATTATCATGATTTGTGTACTACTTGCATTATTTTCTGTTTAACTAATGTATTTTATGCCCTGGGTTAGTGAGTTTTTGTTGCAAACCTGAGGATAGGGCCAAAATACTTGTGCAAGTAGGAACATATGTATTTTTAGGAAATATGAATGAAATGGTTAAATTTGTGCAACTTTTCCTTCCCCTCTGTGTTTTATGAAAATTGAGGTTGAGTGGTGATTTTATAAAATAAGTGTTTTTGGTCATATAGCGTGTGTTGCATGAGTTTATAAGAGTTCATTGGGTGTGGTCGAAGGGTTGGTGTAGGCTATTGGCATGTGTGGTTGAGTTAAGATACCTCATTTGAGAAATTTTATAAAAATGTGTTGGAATGGGTTTTAGTATCCAACTTTTGATAGAAAATGAATTTGAGTGTGAAACTGATGCCATTAGCTAGAGCTAGGAGTAAGCTCCGTATAGACACCGAAACTACCTCAATCAAATGTCGGATGGAGATTTAGGACGCATTGGAAGTCCGCTCTCTATGCTGTCAAATGACAGCACTGATCTATCAAATTTTGTGCCATGCACCGCATAGAGAAGACACGCCGTAATGCACAAGCTGTAAGCTATGGCACATGTGTCATTTTCTGCACAGAAATGGTTTTTGAGTTTTAAAACTCACTTTTTGGGTTTCGATTGGTTTATAAGCTTCCGCTTTGTTTTTAAAACTCTAACTTGAAGTCCTTAAATTTATGCATGGGATTTGAAATGGAAAATTGGGATTCCTTTAAAATAATTTTAAGAAATTCTTCTTTCAAAACCTTAGATAACTATGATTTGGAGTTAATTTGTGGTTTAACCTTAGGGAGGTTATAGTTTGGTATCAATTTGGTATCATTTACATATAGAAAGTTGGCAATTGACATTATACACATATTTTCCCTTTTGAGCCAGTGTTAACTATTTTCCTTTTATGGGATAACTTTCATCCTTAGGAGGGCAAAATGGTGTAAACAAGAAATACTACTGGCAACATTCCAATAAATGTATCAAGATAGGTACGATAAGTCTTAGTACAAGAGGAGAACATTATCCCTAGTGAGCATGTTAAGATGGGACAAGGCTCGGGTCAAGCTAGAAAGCAACCGAGGCCTACAAGCATGATGGAAAGAATTGAATAGAGAATAGATGAGTATGATGAGATTCTAAAGAAAAGACTGGAAGAGTCAAGCAAAACCGTAGAAAGATTTGGCGGTCAGGGTGAAGTGACATTAGAAAGGGAAATTCTTAACTAAGAAGAAGGTAATTATTATGAAGAGAGGACCAAGGAGGCCTTTACCAGTGAGGCCTAGAGAAAGAGAGACAGAGAGCTCTATCGATTTAGCTTTAAGAATGTTTATAAGGTTAAATCCTCCATCATTTGAGGGTTCCATAGAGAATAGAGTTGCTGAGAGGTGGATAGATCAGTTGGAGATGATCTTTTTTATTATGACTTGAACCTCTGAGCAGCGAGTATTACTTGCTACATTCTTGCTTGAGGATGCTGCCAAGAAGTGGTGGGAGAGTGTGAGACCGGTAGATGGGTCTCCATTGTCATGGAATGAGTTTAAGAGGAGATTGTTCTCCTACTATTTTCCTGCCTCCTTCAGAGCTGAGAAAGAGGATGAGTTTCACTGGTTGCAATAAGGGAACATGATGAAGAAGAATTCATAGCTAAGTTCAATGAGTTGTCCAAATACTCGACCTACTTGAGGAACCATGATGATAAGTATTAGAAGGTTGAGCAATTACTTGAGAAGATGCAGCCTGATTATAGACAGCAGCTAGTACCCTTCGATATTGTCTCATACAGCAACATGTGCAGTAAGTTGAGAGCAGTAGCCAGACAAGGTCATGAGGCTGAGGACAACTAGAGGAGAGATGTTAGGGGCCATTTCTCTACATGTATGGGTCCTACTAAAGGTGTTGGCAAGAGAGCTAGTTATAGCTCTAGATCATCTAGATTGGGTAGTCGTGGTAGTAAGAGAAGTTTCCAGAGGGGTTCACATTTTAAAGGTTCCTAGATAAGGAGTAATGCCCCCAGGAGTATAGGTGGGCAGAGTCAAGCTTTGAGACAGGATTCTGCTCTTATGATAGCTGAACCAATTAGAGCCTTATAATACAGCAAGTATGGAAGACACTATATTAGGAAGTGTTGGACTTGTTTCAAGTGCCACAAAGTTAGGCACATCGTGCAGTATTGCCTCAAGAATGCTCCTCACATTGATCAGAGGTCTGCTATTCCTAGTCATGTGTTTGCTATGATAAGGGAAGAGGATGAAGCTTCCTCGAAGCTTATCTGAGGTATGATTTCTTTAAGCAATCAATAAATTTATGCTTTGTTTGATTTTGGTCTTACTTACTCGTTTATCTTCGATGAGTGTGCACAAGGACTGAAATTGCATGTGGTTGAAATGCCTTTCATGATAAATGTGTCTACACCAACTGGTGCTTCAGTGAGAACCAGTTAAGCTTGTTTGAAAGTAAAGTTGAAATTTTGTGAAATAGTCACAAGTATTGACTTGATTTGTTTACCCATGTTGAGAATTGATGTGATAATTGGCATGGATTGGTTGTCTACTAATGGAGCAATGTTAGATTGTAATTGGAAGACAAGTTCATTACCAGTATACATGGCGACCACAGTAAATGATAAAACTACACAGTCTGTACTTGTTACTACTTTAAAGACTCCCAAGTTCCCATCAGCAGTACAAGTAGAGAAATCAGTGAAGGAAGGATGTCAAGCTTTCATGGTGTTTTGCTCAGTGCACAGAGTATACGATGGAGCAATAGAAAAGATTGGAGTTGTCAATGAGTTTCCTGAGATGTTTGTAGATGAAGTGTCAGGATTGCCACCAGAGAGAGAGATTGAGTTCTCAATCGACTTGGTGGTACCGAGCCAATCTCTAAGGCTCCATATCGAATGGCTCCAATAAAATTGAATGAGCTTAAGAAGTAGCTAAAGGAGTTATTAGAAAAGGGGCTGATTAAACCTAATGTTTCACTTTAGGGTTCACCTGTTCTGTTTGTTAGGAAGCAAGATGGTAGCTTGAGATTGTGCATAGACTACCGGTAGCTGAACAAGGTGACAATTAAGAATAAGTACCTGTTACCTTAAATTGATGACTTGTTGGATCAGTTAGTTGGAGTAGCAGTATTCTCTAAGATTGACTTGAGATCCGGCTATCACTAGTTGAGAGTGAAAATGGATGATGTGCCGAAGACTACTTTCAGAACGAGATACAGGCATTATGAGTTTCTTATAATCCCCTTCGTGTTGACGAATGCACCTACAATCTTTATGGATTATATGAATCGAATCTTTAGGCCTTACTTGGACAAGTTCGTGGTGGTCTTCATTAATGATATTTTAATATACTAGGTTGATGAGGAAGAACACACTAAGTACTTGTAGATCATGTTGCAAATTCTAAAAGAGAAGAAGCTTTATGAGAAGTTAAGCAAATGTGAGTTTTGGTTGTGTAAAGTGAAGTTTTTAGGCCATGTAGTGTCAGCCAGTGGTATTGCAGTTGATCCTTATAAGGTGGATGTGGTGCTACAATGGGAAAGATCGACTTTTGTGATCGAGATCCGAAGTTTCTTAGGTCTAACAGGATATTATAGGAGGTTTATTTAGGGATTTTTCCAGATTGCATCTTCTTTGACCAAATTGACTAAGAAAGATCATCCTTTCATATGGACTGACAAGTGTGAAGAGGCTTTTCAAGACTTGAAGCAGATATTAATGATTGCACTTGTGTTAACCATTCCAAATCCAAAATTGGCATTTGTGGTTTATGCGGATGCTTCACTTAAGGGTCTTGGATGTGTTTTAATGCAAGATGATAGGGTTGTGAAATATGCTTTGAGACAGTTAAGACCGCATGAGGAGAACTATCCTATTCCTACCTATGATCTTATGCTTGCGGCAGTGGTGTTTGTGCTTAAAATATAGAGACATTACCTTTATGGTGCATAGTTTGAGGTATACAGTGACTACAAAAGCCTCAAATATCTAGTTGATTAGAAAGACTTGAATATGAGATAGCGGAGATGGATGGAGTTCTTGAAGGACTATAATTTTGAGTTGAAGTACCATCCTGGCAAGGCTAATGTAGTAGTTGATGCTTTAAGCTGGAAAACGCCACATGTAGTATTGTTGATGATGCAAGAGCACAAGATGCTAGAGGATTTCTCTAATAAGCACAAGAATGTTCCCAATTTTGCATCATACAATTTAAATGTCATAGTGATTACAATTGAATTCTGGAAAGAATTGAGAAAAGCACAGTTAGATTATGAGTATTTATTAGAAATCCCGGAGGACATTGAGGAAAACCGAATGACAGCTTTTGGTTTCAGCAATGATGGTTTCATGTTTTGTCATGACCATATGTGTGTTCCTGATGATAAGGAGATTCAAGAGACTATACTATTAGAAGCTCACAGGAGTAAGCTAACAGTTCACCCTAGTACTACTAAGATGTACCAAGATATAAAGAACCGGTGGTGGTAGCACGGAATGAAGCAAGATGTGACTAAGTTCGTTTCTAGGTGTTTGACATGTCAGAAAGTCAAGATAGAACACTAGAAGCTACTTGGGCTATTGCAACACTTGGAAATCCCAATGTGGAAATGGGATAGTGTCTCTTTAGATTTTATAATAGGATTGGCTCGTACTCAGGTGAGTCATAATGCTATATGGGTGATTGTGGATAGACTAACTAAGTCGGCTCACTTTCTAGCCATTAGAGCAAATTATACCTTAGAGAGATTTAATGAGATTTATGTCCAAGAGATAGTACAGTTGCATGGGGTACCAAAAGAGATTATGTCAGATCGCGATCTGAGGTTCACATCAAACTTCTGGAGAGCTTTACACCAAGCTATGTATACTAAATTGAAGTTTTGTATGGCCTATCACCTACAAACCGATGGTCAGACCGAGGAAATGATTCAAACTCTTGAGGATATGTTGTGAGCATGTGCTATTGAGTTTAGTGAAGTTAGGATAAACACTTACCACTTGCAGAGTTTGCTTATAACAACAACTTTTATGTCAGTATTCAGATGGCTCCGTATAAAGCCTTGTATGGTCAAAAGTGTCAATCACCTCTTTGCTAGACTAAGTTAAGTGAGAGAAGTATTTTGGGTCCAAATTTAGTAGATCAAACTACAGAAAAGATAGAGGTAATTCAACAAAAGTTGTTGACTGCCTAGAGTTGGCAGAAGAGTTATGCGAATAAGTGAAGGAGACCACTAGAGTTTATGGTCGGAGACTATATATTCTTAAAGGTATCACCTATGACTAATATTGGGAGGTTTATTCGAGCCAAGAAATTGACTCCTTACATTGGTCCATTTAAGATTCTAGAGAGGATTGGGCCTTTGGCGTATTGGATTGCATTACCCCCACATTTATTGGGTGTACATGACATGTTTTATGTCTCGCAACTCAAGAAGTACCAATTTGATCCATCTCACATTATTAAACCAGAAGAGGTAGAGCTACGGGAGAATTTGACTTACCGGACTAAGCCGAAAAGAATAGCTGATATGAAATATAAGCAACTAAGAAATAAGACTATCCATTTAGTGAAAGTGATATGGAAAGAAATAACTCTTGGTGATGTCACTTGGGAAATAGAGGAGAAAATAGTGCAAAAGTATCCCCATCTTTTTCAGTGAGGTAAGATTTAAATGATTTACTGAATTTTAGGGATAAAATTCTTAAAAGAAGGGGAGAGTTGTAACATTTGAAAAATTATAACCCTAATTAATTAACTTAATTAGGGTAGTTAGTGAGTTAATGAGGTGTATGGCCAGAGGGGCTTAACTTGGCATAATTGATGTGATTTCAGCCCTAGAAGTGGGTCCGGATTGATAGCGGGCCACCCGGGTAAGGAAGAGGATGAAAAAGTGAAGAGTTATGTTCTATGCCATATGTCACGACGCGGTATTGGTCTGCCACAATGTATGGACACAATTTAAATGTAACGAGCTCCTCTGTACCATGCATTGCAACGAAGGGCAGCTTGTGTCATGGCGCACAGCTAAAAATTAGATATATCTTATTCATTTCTGCATGAAAAGAATAGAAGGAGAAGAGGAAGAAAATGAAGAGCTCATTTTGGCTTTATTAGGGCACAACTTTTGGTCCCATTATTGATAGATTGAAGCTTCTAAACACCCAAGGTAAGATCGTGCTGCCTTCTTCTTCCTTTCCCTCCCTCATTTATGATTATTTATGGTAGGGTTTGAGTTAGGAGATGGATTTTCAGTCCATAAGAGTATGGGTCCGATTCCATTAGTTAAAATGAGATTAATGGGAGTGATTTAATGTATTGAAACACCACATTGATGATTTTAGAAGTGGTTAGTCTATGGGAGCATTTAATATCCGAAAATTAGTATTTATGAGGTAGTTGGAAGAGGTTAATGTGCATTAATGATTGTTTGAGATGTTATTAATGATAATGTGCATTAACAGAATCTAATGAGTCTATTGAGTATGAATGGGCAATGGTTCTTAGTTGGTAAAATAGTATATGAGTAGTTTTATATTGACAAAGCTTAAAGACCTAGATGATGATAATATCCTTGTAATTTGGTTGTAGAGAGGTTCGTCTTAGCACCATTCAAGCTTGTTGAAGCTTGGGGAAGTTGATATAGTGAAGGGTAAACCTTTAACCTCTCAAAGGTTTGAGGTAACCGAGAAAAACTTAATTTTTATAGTTGAATTTTAATTGTGTTGTAAAATGTGATTTGTGAGTAAAATTTATGATGTATGTTGGCAAGTGCATGAT